ACAGTTGTTCAGGAGATGTAAAAGCAACATGCCTAAGGACATAAGCCACCAACTACATGGTATTACAAAGCTATTTCCTTGATAGGCAGCTGGTAGTTTCAGAGCTGTCCACAGCAGCAATTTTGTTTGTTGGCTTGGAACTGTTGGGAGATAAACAGGGGAGACTTCAGCATGTAAACACAAGTGGCATTGTGCTCAGCAGCAGGATCGAGAGGGGAAGATTTGTACACACGTGTACGTGACATAAAAGGTCTACACAGAGCAAAGAAAAACTCTGTCAGATCATTAGTTACTTCCCATTTCATTATCTGTCAGCCCACATGAGGAAGAAGTTCCTTCTCTGTTTGTAGCTGACATCAGTGCAAACAACACAATGAACGAAGCGTTTAAACTCAGTCTAGATTTTCCCTGGGGCGCAGCAGCACCATCAGAACAGCCCTGCTCCACACAGAGTACAATTTAAAGAAGAAAGGTTAATACAAAAAGCCCTGTTAACAACAAAACTTTGGGCAAACAACAATTAACAGAGGTGGACACACAACCTGCAGAGTGGAACTGACCCAGACATCCTGAACTGCTGCATTCTGCTCCCCTCCCTCAAACCAAGCATGTGCTTGAATTGCACCTCTTCAACACAGAGACCACAAAGGGTCACCTCAAGATCTCCTCTGTAAACAAGATGGTCTGATTTCATGCTCCCCCTTTGCCTGACATGGAGCAACAACCGGCTGCATTGCCTGCCTGTACCTTGCTGGGCAGGAACCTTACTGCTTCCTCCCTCCAGGCTGTGTTTAGGGGCTTGTTGGAGCAGGAACGTAATTAGTAACTCCCCACTCAAGCCCGGCATAGCCCTTTTTAAACCATAAGCTCTTAATATACCTATATTGCTGCTGCCCCTCAACTCCTTACCCAAACACAATCCACATTTAGACACTTCTGGGCTGTGCCAGATAAAGAATTTCTGGATGCAGCCACAATTTTGATTCACTGCTCCTCAAAGCTGCAGAGACTCTACAACTGAGGTATCACTAAAGCATCACCAGTAACACTGTACTATCATTTGGAAAGAAGTCTTGCATAATTTGCAAAACAGCCTTAAAAGTCCGGGAGGAAAACCTGTCACAGTCTGTTCCTACCTTACTGCAAGAGTTCACACTGTCAGGGCAGCCTCTGAAATCCCCGGGAGACCGACAGAAACAAATCTCTCCTAAGAAAGCTTTGCTATGGCACGGCTTGAAACTCCTGCTTGTAGAAGCACTTACTACAACAGCACTCTGCAGCAGGGAGCAGACAAACGGAGAGGGATGGGCAGACATATGCCTTCAACCTGCAAGAAGCAGAGAGCAATTCAGCTAAAGCACAGCTTAAGAAAACAGAGCCCTCATCACCAAAGTAGCACCCAGCTTCAGCTGTTAGTTGTCTCAGTCCTGAACAGTGCTAAAACACTACTGAGTCCCCATAAATGCCAGTTAAAACCAAACAAGGATCAAGAAATAAGCAGCGGGAGCAAGTGGCCCTGGAACCCACTTTGTGCTGCTCTCCAAAGGAAGAAGTCTTACTGGCTGCCTCCTGGTAACTCCAATGGACCAGTGGTGGCACTGAGAGGAAAGGAGCCAGGTGACATAGGACACAGCACAGATCCACTGCAGTCTGTGGAGGTTTGGGAGTTGCAGAAGGGTCTTGCAGACGGGTCTCACAAGGTGGGCTTGTGAGCATGTTTTAGGCATGCCAGAAGGCTGAACAGCACAGCTCAGAAGGTGCAAATGCTGTCGTGTTATTTCCAATCAAAACAGATCTACAGGTAAAGTACCAGAACTTCACCTTTCATTTTTATTTTGGCTATATTACGCTTGTCTGGCAAAAGACACAAGTATGGTTACTGGTCTGTTATCGAGTCAGAAAAATGTTGAGGAACAGCATAGAGTACATACACCCATCTACAATCTGTTCACACAGATGTGTGAAAACCAAAGACGAGACACACTGAGATAACAAAAAATTCCTGATTTGTTAAACACAGCACTTAATTGAGATAGCAGAACAATCACCACGTAACAGCACGAAGTTCATTCACAAACTTGAGTTCCTACATCCCCCTTGCTCTCGGTGTGCCCTGACACACGGGGAGCAGACAGAGCTGCCAGGCGCCCAGAGCTGCAAGTTTCAGCCGGCCTCAAACTGCTCAGACAGCGACAGACCTGCTCGGATGAGAAACCTGCTGCTGAGGATACCAGGAATACTTAACCAAACCTATCCTATAAAAGGGTTCTGGATGAATGCTACAACTTATACCATGCTAGTGTAAGCAGTTTATTCTGTCAAAAGCACTCTTATGTTGGAGTAATTTACTCTGGGTTCTCAAATCAAACAAACTGAGCCAAAGGAAACCATCTTGGGAAAAATGTGTTACAGCTATTGTCAGGACAAAAGCACAGAAGAAAAAAGCAGTAGTGCAGAGCTGTGGCTGATTTGTTACAGCAGAGAAAGCCAAGAGCTAACCTGGCTCAAACCAAACCTCTCTGGGGAGCAGAGCAGTGCCCATGAGCCAAACCATGCTTTGCCCTATGGCAGACTCCTCATTAGGACCACTCCTTTTCTCAGGCTCAGAAACACACCGCGAGATGTTAGAAATATGCAGGAAGACTTCTGGTTTGTTTGTTTGCTTTTTAAATGTCAAGATTCGCTCTGGGGCAAGCTAAGGGATGAAATAAAGCTGCACAAATACGTCCATCCTGTAGGAATTCACACAGCCACCCAAGGCCCTGCTCTCCATAAGAGAACTATGAGCAGCCTGGCACTGAGCAGCTGGGGCAAGACCTCAAGCTACCACACAAACGCAGTCTCACTGGCCCAAAGGCTGACAGCTCATCCTTGAAGCTGGTGCTTTTTCCTGCCCCTGCAGAAGCCAGCAAATGAACAAAGGCAGATGGGGTCCACAGCATCAGCAGAACTTCCGTGTGTCTCTGCTTTGTCTTCACGTCTTTCTGCCTCTTCCCAGCTGCCATTTCTGAGCTGCATGGATACTCAAGCTGCCAAGTAACAACAGGGAAAACCACATCACTGCAATTTATAAATGTCCTACTCATAACCACTCAGCCAAATAACTTCCATGCAAAACTCAAAAACAGGTAACGCTCCTCTCTCTGTGGCTACACAAATCCTTCAGCACACAGTGCTGTGCTCACACCCAACCACCCCCTCAGAACATCCATGCCTACTTATTTTCCTGCTCACACCCTAAATTCAGCATTCATGCAAACCATACGAAGTTTCTGAACTTGCCCACAGCCACAATATATAATGACAGAGCCAGGAAAGGCAATGCCAGCTAATACTTCCACTGTTACGTTCCACATATCCACTCATTTTTCTTCCAAACGTTCTTCTGAAATTAGTTATTGGATTTTTGGAGCTACATATTGGAATAAATGTAACTCAAATCAATTGGCAGTTGGACTTTCAGACTCTGGTAACATAGCATGCTTTGGAATAAGCTAGCTTTAAAATAACATGACATTGAATTCCTGCGTCTCCTGGTAACTCTTTATATAGAAACATAAATCAATCATTCTGAAAACACTCAGAATAAATAGGACTTGCAGAAGTTTGGGTACAGCTAGAGCTGCATTTTATCACCAAAGCCACTGAGATGTTCATTTCAGCTGGAACCACAGTTCTCCAGTACTGGTGCCCTACCTGACCCATTCCACCCAAAATAAAGGACAGCTGGAGTAAGAAAGGGATCCTACAGTGATGAGAAGAGACAAGCATCACAGGTAAAAATGTGGTTTTGCAAAGGCAGGTAAGGCAAACATGTTTCTTAATGTGCTGCAGAATTGGGTACATGTATTGTCACATCTTGTAAGCCCAAGGAGAAAAGATGAGTAAGCTCAAAAAAAAAAAAACAACAACCAAAAGAAACAAAGGGACCAACACTACATCATATTTATGTACTAATGCAGGTAACCTACTTTCCACATAGCTAATGAGTTCCTTCTTGGATATGAGCCTGAGCAATCCCGAGTTACAAAAATACCCACAACTCCAAGGAGTGCAGGTTTTGTTGGAGCCAGTGCAGCTCTGTCTAACTCCAGGACACCTAACTTGTGTTTCCCAGCTGGTTTTTCAGAGATCAAGAACAAAATGCAATACATTGACATGAACATCTGTGAAAAGGCGCCCTTTTATAGCGTAGTTTATAGTATCCTTGAACTACAGAGGTTGTGCAACCAGAAGTCACACATTCTGTGTATGCCTATACTGCTGCTGCAGCAGAACAACAGCATCTCCCACTTACAGCAAGCCTTCCAGTCTTGATTTTGGATCTGGCATTGGGTCATCTACAAAATGACAAACAACAACCAAAAAAGGATTCAGGCATTTGAAGAACATTTCATTGACTGCTCACCCTTACTTCATGCCTTCGGCTTGCCTTTCAAAGCAGCCTTCCACAGCTGACTCTGAGTACTGAAGCACCTCAGTGTCCGTTCTGAGGGTTCTTCTTCCTGCTCTTCCATCTCAGTGAGTTTTATAGCACCCTACTCCCGGCCTCAGCCGCGCCTGCTCATGGCTACGGGCAGGGAGAAGTGCTCCTTTGGACCAACATCCATTTAGAAGTTAATCACCAACTTCACACTCCGTTTGTTTTTACTTTGTTTTCACGCTTGAAAACGTTGAGGCTGTACCACAAAACACCGCGCCGCCCCAAAAGCGTACAGAAATAGAGCCGCGGAGCGCTCCGCGATGTGGCAGCAGCAAGCAGGCAGCGCCCGGCCCGCGCTCCGCGCCAACCCAGCGTGCAGGCGGGCGTGCAGGCGGGCGGGCGGGCAGGCACGACGTTCCGCACCCAGCGTCCCAACAGGCCCGGCCGCAGCAGCCCGGAGCCGCGCTGGCCGGCGCTGCCCGAGCCCCGATGCGCCTTGGCCGGTAGGCAGAGCGGCGGCCCGCAGCCCGCGCTCCCCGTTACATAACCGCCCCGGGACGGCCTGGCACCGCCGCACCTGATGTAGGGACTGGCGGCCGCCAGGATGTTCTTCTGCACCGGGATCTCCTCGCCTTCCAGCACCAGGTGCGCGTCGCAGAAGCGGCTCTCCTCTCGGAAGGAGCTGAGGGCCCGCAGCAGCCGCGCCGGGTGCTGGGGATCCGACACGGCGCTCGGTCCCGACATGCTGCCCGGCCGGGCCCCGCCGCCCGCAAACACCTCGCGCTGTGCCGAGCCGCGCCGCGCCGGCCACCTCAATCGGTGCCTCGCACCATGGCTGACGTCATCAACCCGCGCCGCCCATCTGGGCGGGAGCGGCGGCGGCGGAGCGACGCGCCCCTGCCCCGGCAGCGCCCCCGCGCGGAGCGGAGCGGCGATGCAGGAGGGCTGGCGGCGCTGTTAGAACGTGAGGAGGTCACTTCTGGCTTGGATGTAATTATCCGGAATGTCAGATGTCTCTGCTTCGAACCAGACCGGCAGGATGCAGGAGGGCTTCACGCAAGTCTCCGCAGCACTGAGCAAGGAGAGCTCTCGGGCTGCTGGTGGAAGGTGTATTTTGCTCATTGTTGGGTAATTGCACACCCAAGGGAGCAGTGGTTTGAATTATTGCAAAAGCTGTCATTGAGTGGCCTGGTTATTTGAAAAGACAAACACGGGTTTGTTTCTGTGCCTCCTGCATGGGCTATAATGGTGGAAAACACAGTTGTGTTACTGGTTTTAGCTCTTCCTCCTGCTGTGTATGTGGGGCACTGGGACAAGGCGTAACGGATAATACCCACTTCCAGAGAACAAATTAATGGTTACATTTTGTTATTCATTTCATTTCATGAAACTCACTGATAAAAAACAACAATGCACCAAACCTGTGCCTCCTAGAGGGCTGCTTGCAGCATCTTTGAAGTGACAAGTTGTGTCCATCCCGCTCTGCTCAGCTTTTGCTCAGCTGTTCTTTCCCTTTGAGGGAGCAATCTCTCTTTACTATTTTTATTTGCAGCCACTGAGTGTGGGTTCTTTTTCTGCCGTTACAGGAATCCCAGTAGTTTTAGGGGCTAGCTTAAGACTGGAACTGGTGCAAAAATCCAGCCCTTATGACCCTCAGGATCTCATTCATGGTGAAGGACGTCAGGGAAGCAAAGCAAATTAGGAACTTGCCTACCATGTGTTGTACTACCACAACAAAACACCCACAAGCCTTGCAGCCACTTGGCAAAGCACGCGTGCATTCCCTCTTGCTGTTGTCAGACTTGAAATTATACTGTGTGCCACTGTACTTGTGGTAAATGTTTCATCACATCACCATTGCAACCACTAAAAATAGTCTCAGAAATCTGTGATTAGCTGTATGGTCTGATCTGTATTGTCTGTGGTGCAGGATGACCTGGATCAAACACTGAGATTAGCAAATAGTAGTCTGTAGATAACCAATCTGATCTGTTTTTATGATGAATATTCCCCTTTCATGTCTTCTCTGTGGTATGAGTTAGCTCCCCAGAATCCTGTCACTCCTGTATCCAAACTCACGGTCATCCAAACACGTAACACTATGAAATCTCAGATGGAATTCTGGAGATAAACTCTTAAAATGAGATATAATAATGGTTAGACCTTTGACTGACGTCCCTCTTATAATTTCAGAAATATTTGTGGAGATTTTGGTAAGTCTGAAAGTATCAGCTCCTATTTATTTCCATGGAAACTACAGGAGATGCAAAGAGCACAATAACACTACTTGATAGAGCAAATTCTCAGCTACAAATCACTATTTTGCAACATTGTCACCACCACTAGCACTGCATTTTTGCCAGTGCTGAACAAGAGCCTGCATGCCACACTCATAAAAATCTGCACCAGAAGAGGTGACCCACTGTCACTGTCCCCACCGCCTCACTGTGCTCACTTCCACTGTTTGGTCTCCATAAATGTTCAGCAAGCGATGAATGTCAGTGGGTGCCATTTTTTTCTGCACAGAGGAATTCAATAACACACCTTTGCTTCATACACGCTTTCTCGTCTGATGTCATTCTGCCAGACTGCCCCTCCTCTGCCATCTGTCACACGGCAACAAAATGGAATGGAATATCGGCGGGAAGCTTCAGCTTCTACTGTCGTACCACAACATCCGCCTCTGATTCGTGGGCCAACATAATAATACAGGAGGCATTGCTTTTGGAGCAGCCTTTCTACTGTCCCAGCACCAAAGGTCGATCTGCCATTTCAGTACTACTTCTATGTTACATACAAAACGGAATTCAGTTTCTTCTTTAGATTATAAAATTCTCATATAGGGTGGTGGTAGCATGCCTTGAAAACACTGATGATCACTATTTCTTCATATGCATATTGCGGAGTGTTTATTTCCATTTTAGGGAACATATAAACATTTGAAAACCCCAAACTGCTTACTTCAGCTCTAGATCTGACCCCAGTGACTTTTTAACATGAAAATTAGGCAGTGTATTCTTTATACATGCGAACTATAAAGACAGCAAAGGGAGTCATAACAGAGCAAGCAAGAACTGTGGATGGTGTTGGTTCTATTGCTGCTCTGCATGGTTACATCTTATGTAACCATGAACAAGTCACCAAAGCCCAGTTGTTCTCATGTGATGGGGCAATAGATGACAGTGATCCCATTTTGTTTCCCTCCTGCAAAATACAGTGAGTAGCAGAAACACCGAGAACAGGTATGTGAAAGTGAGAGATACCCAAATAGTGTGGTGACACATACAGACCAAGTGAACACCTAACATGGATGGATGGATGGATGGATGGATGGATGGATGGATGGATGGGTGGGTGGATGGATGGATGGATGGATGGATGGGTGGGTGGGTGGGTGGATGGATGGATACACAGTTTTCTCACTCATTATGATTCAACCTCCATCAGAAAATAAACTTTTACCTAAAGAAATTGTTGAACATATATCTGAGTTATTCTAGAAATATATTGCTCTCATTCATATGCATTGTGTTAGTAACACAAATAACAATATTAATGAAAGATACACTTCTATTCATCTTTAGACAACATACTCATCTAATTACATGAAATGTTATGTTAGATATTGTCAAGGAAAACTGATTTAAGTACAAATTGCTTACAACATTAGGATAGAATAGCACTGAAGTATAACTGAATGCTACATAATGCTACATATGTACTTGGTTTTGTCATCATAAAAAGGGAAAGTATGGGATTATTAGCAAAGCAAGTTTCGTTTGCTTGTTTCAGTTTTAAATTAGAAAGTTGTAGCACCTGAATGTAATACTTAACTTTGGTTAAAGTGGAAATCAAGCACCAAGAAAATGCATTGGTATTAATTACCAGTAGCAGATGGTTTAAAATGAGGTTTTCTGGCTGGAGAAAACTTGCATCACAAGCTGCAATCTTGAAACGATCTCTGAAAGATACACGAGCTCCAGACCTATGTGACTCATGCCATGCATCACACTATAAATACTGTACTTCATTTGCTCAGAAATCTATATTCTACTTAAATATTCTCATTACCTTTCTCTCCAGTTCCCTCTACCACAGTTATGTACAACATTAGCACTTTTAAAATACCAATCATTCTTCTTTTGGAATAGTTATGTGCCAGTTGTGCATCTCGTTACCTGTAGTAAAAGTCATTGCTGTGTCTTAAAAAGATTGTATCTATTATTTAAGAGATTATATACAGTCGTTTTGTGTCATAATATGGTTGTTCTTGAATGATAAAAGGGATATTATCCCACGCTCAGTAGAAAGCTGTCTCATTTTGTGTAATGGGATAAATAGTGCTTTACTCCATCTCAGCCTCCAAATCATTCTGTGGTATAAACATTCCATGCAGGTCCAGATGCATTTCTACATTAACAGTGGCTCGGCCCAATTCTTTGAATGTTTTAGCATCCAAGATGAGTAGGAAGGGTGCTTTGTTTGGCTCAGTCACCACAACACAGGTCAAAACAACACCTGTGACATACAAGTGGAGAATTAGAAGCTCATACTGGTTACACCAAGCTGAAAACATAACACTGTCAGGAAATGAGTCTTGTTTGCTAGGAATCTGAGGACACACACTGAAAGTGCTTACTAGATGAAGTCTGACTGGGGGAGCTGAGGAACTACTGAATGGTTCTCTTCTGTTCCTTTACCTGGCCTGCCTGCAGCAAGCAAACACTGAACTGTGTCTCTGACAGTCTTGTTGGGCAACTGAGTAGTGAAGCTTGGGACACATCCTTTCAGCTATTTATCATTTGTCTTTGCAAGGAGCCGCCTCAGAACAGAACCGGATCCAGATTACAGGGAGACTTGCAATGCCACTTCGTGTTCTCATTTGTAACAGCACTGACTTCCACAGCTCCAGCTTCTTCACTTGATAAATCTAGTTCCCAGTGGCAATCTGGAAAGTCCTAAGCATGGATTTTACTGTTTATGAATAGTGTGGGACTTTATGCAAGCTCCTTTTGCTCTGTCATTGATCTGTCTTTAGTCTGCAGGAGTAAAACGGTTGGCAATAATTCTAATTGATCTGCAGAAACATCAGCCTAGCTGCCTTGTTCTGACTGACAACAATGAAACTTTTAAGACTTAATGCAAAACCCAGCTTTCAAAATGTTGTTGCTATTTTACCTTCATCCTCTTCTCTTGCGCCGGGGCTGGGAACGAAGATGGGCTCTGAGGGCCAGCAGTGCTCTTCTCCCCAGTGCAGCAGTTCCTTTGTTTGGACGTTCAGTTTCGCAATCTAAGTTGTTGTGATCAGAAAAGAAAAGTGTCAGTGACGGTGGTTGATTTTATAGAGACTATTTTAGTAGTGTTAAAAAAGGCATAGATACCACTTCATTACATTGCAATTACATCTTCCCTTGTTGGGCGTGAAGTATTTGACAAATCCTAATAGGTGGTAAGATTTGCTTACCCTGCATCATGGCTAAATAACATCCTCCCCATACAGAGAAGAGTGCACAGCACAGCACTTTGAAGTGACTTGCCCCAAATGACTGCAGTTTTGTTGTAAAGCAGGAAACAGGATTTAAACCTTCCAATTTCTAATCCTGTGAATTATTTTCCTTTTGTTGTGACCTCAATATTCCTCAAGGCCTTCTATTGTTAATTGGGGTATATATGCCAGAACAAGGGCTATTAATAGTGATGTAAAGGTTAAACCAATGGAGCAAGAATTCCACACAGACACTGGC